CAAAATTCTCCAAGCCAGGCTTCAACAGTACATGAACCGTGAANGCTGTGTCCAACTCTTTGCATCAGATGGCCAAAGTATTGGAGCTCTAGCCTCAGTATCAGTCCTTCCAGTGAATATTCAAGTTTAATTTCCCTTAGAATTGACTGGTTTGATCTCCTTGCTGTCCAAGGAACTCTCAAGGGTCTTCTCCAGCACCACAGTTCAAAGGCATCAGTTCGTCGGTGCTCAACCTTTGTTATTGTCCAGCTGTCACATTATTCGTACATGACTGCTGGAAAAACCATAACTTTGAGTATACCAACCTTTGTAGACAAAGTAATGTCTCTGCTTTTTAATACTCTGCCTAGGTTTGTCATTGCTTTTCTTCCAAGGAGCAAGACTAATCCTTGCATCTCCTTATAACTAGAAAAGCACTAAATTCTTTCATGGTGACATCAGCTCCCCATCATGATTCTGTTGAACTCTCCCTTCACCAAAATCATATATATTGACCTTCCCCCACTACATCTTTGGAGCAGTTTCTCAGAGGTATTTGAGGTGCTGCTTTCTGGGCTGCAGTCCTCATTTTGCCCTCAAATAAAACTTAACTCACAACTCTCACGTTGTGCATCTTTTTTAGTCAACAAGCAGGGTAACATAAGTACCAACTGACACATATAGCATAGATTTAAAACACATTTCTGAGATTGTTTGGTGGCTGAAGTGGTACAGAATCTACCTGCAGTGTAGGAGGTGTGGGTTCGATCCATGGGTCAGGAAGATCTCCTGGAGAAGAAAATGGCAACCTACTTCAGTATTCTTGCCTGGGAAAGTTCATGGACAGAGGAACCTGGCAGACTATTATTCATGGGGTTGCAAAGAGTTGGACATGACTGAGCGACTACATAACAACCATCTTTACACTATGTGTGGCAATCTGTTAGCAAGATAGTTTTAAAACTATATAGCAACATAAAAGATGTTTAGAGAAAAGTAAGTCATAAGCTACTACACTAACACAGAAACTTATGTTCTATTTTCATAAGCAAATATTGTATATATGGACAATTTTGTATCATTTATTTATCACTAATTCATATCTTTCAGTGTTTGATTCCTTTTAAAATTTTTATAATCAGAAAGACAATCAGTAAGCAAGACATCTTGAAAATTAAAAATATATGATTGTCAAAGTTTTTTAAATTGTGAGCTCACACAAATTTGGTCAAAATAGAAATTATTTTTAAAGACATTTTAAAAATCTTTTACTTTTTATAAATGTTAGGCAAAGCCCATGCATTCATATTACCCTCACCTGGCACTCACCTTTGTGCTCAATTCTCCCTCGTTTGTTCCCCATACCTGATCCTTTCCACATCATGCCTGACTGTGAATGCGATTTGCATTTGTTTACTTCTCTAACTCTTCTTAAGACTAAGCCTTCATCATCTCTCATCGGGAATACTGCCTAGTCTCCCAACAGATGTTCTGTTTTCACTCTTGCCAGCCTCTGAGCCATTCCATACACAGCAACCACGCTGATGTCTCAAAGATGAAGAACAAAGAGAGTCACAACCCTGCTTGGCCCCCTTCAATAGCTTCAGACTGCTCTCTAAATAAATCCAAGTCTTAAACTCAGCCTCTGAGCCCGGCATCTTCAAGCTCCTACTATGTCCTCAGCATCATCTTTCCACTCCTTGCTCATCCTTCCCTTGGATTTGCACATGGTGCTCCTCTGGCCTTGAACTTTTCCCTAGCACTCTCTTCTTGGTTCTGTCTCATGGTTTAGGATTCAAGTTAAGTGCCGCCATTTTCTTTCTCTCACCACCACATCCATTCTCTCCACAGTACCTATCATGTGTGATTGCATATATACTTATTCACGTGATTGTCTTTGTTTCCGCCCCAGGCTCTAAGCTACATGAGACCAGGACCTTCACTTTGCTAGAACATTCCCTCTCACAGAGCAGGCCCTTGGTCAATCCTGACTGAATCAATGAATGAGTGGAATGTACAGTAGGACAGTTTTCCTCAAAAGCTTGCAGATAGCCACAGAAGAGATCTGTTTTTCAACTCACGTTCTGATTCAGTAGATCTGAGATCTGGCCTGAGATTTGGTGTTTCTGACAAGTTCTTGGGTGACATCAAAGCTGCCAGTGCCTAATTCACGTTTTGACTAGCAAGGTCAGAGGGATTATAAAGATGAATGATAGTGGTGTTTGTCCTTATGATCTGGCAAAGAAGTTGCCTCAGAAAAATGGTCTAAAACACCACAACTATCCTGACTTTCATTGGTACAGGAAACCTGTAAGACCTGAAACTGTTTGAAATTGGTGTCAACGTTGATCTTACCCCGACAGTACATAAAACCAACATAAAGAAATGTCTAGCTATAATAAAATCATTCAAAGAGTTATAATAAAACAAAAAAGTTACGAGAAGCAATTGGTAATTCAGTCTATAGGAATAGAGATGCTTTTTTCACAAAGCAGTAAATATCATGGGACAGACAGACGGGAATTTGAATTTCATTTTGCCCTTGAGTAGTTGAGCAACCTTAAGTGATTCATATTCTCTGAATCTCAGTGTCATCATTTATCAATCAGGGCAAGTGATATCCACCTTAGAGATGAGCAGATGAAGTGGGTCTCTCATATCAGTTAAATAACTGTGCCTGGTATCTGGTAGTCCTTATCAGACTCCTGTTCCTTCCTTAGGTAGAACATTTGCCTTATAACATTAATTTCCCAGGGGGAGAGAGAATCAATTTTTGAGTGTATGTTTGACACGTTTACCATCTCAGAGGGGAAAAAAAGTTAGGAAAACAAATAACTATGCAGATTAAAAGCAAGCATTTTGGCTTAAATGAACACCAGATTGTGAATTAGAAAAGCAAAGATGTGGTCCAGGATTCAACACAAACTAAATGTGAGACATCAGACATATTATTTGACACCCCTGGCCTGGGCCTCTGTATTATTTCTAAATCATTGTATGTGCATACATGCATGCTCAGTTGCGTCCAACTCTATGTGACCCCTACCAATTGCAGCCCACAGTCCGTGTCCGTGGAATTTTCCAAGAATACTGGAGTGGGTTGCCATTTCCCACTCCAGTGGATCTTCCTGACACAGGGGTCAAACCCACATCTCCTGAGTCTCCTGCATTGAACTGCAGACTCTACCATGTACCATTTGAGAATCTCCCAAAGTTTCTAGTAAGGAATTGGTAAAAAGAGGTGATTAAAAATATCAACAAATATGTTTATTTGCAAAGAATGAAGCCAGGGACATTGAAGCACCTACTTGAATTCAAATAACCCAAGGGCTTAATTCCATGAATATTCAATAGTATGTTGAGGTATAAAGGCAAGGTATATAGGAAAAAAGACATAGAAGAGAATTGAAAGCCATTTATAATGAAGCAGGAGGGTTTGAAGCATAAAAGCAGTCATTTCCAATACACAAATTAATTTTTCAGCATTTAAATAGAGAGATAACTTCACAACTCTAGTCAAGCAGTTTTTTCACTCACTTTTTTCATTATTACATAGAAATGTTATAATTATTTTAAAAGATTTATAGATTTATTTTTTATTTTCTCCAAATTGTTCCTATTTTCTGTATTTTTAAGACATATTTAAGTTAATATTCTAAGTTATGACAACTTAAGAACATATATAACAACTAGAATTCTGGCTGTCAGTGAAAATGGGCATGTCTGTATAATCTAGAAAAGATGGAAGTTCTCCAGATAAATTTTAAGCTCTCTGATTTCATATATTTCTTTAAAACTGAGTAATATAGTTTAAGGGTGTTTATGAAGATCTTAGGAGGAAAGAAACTGTTTTCCAATCCTTGTTCTAGTTACCAATGAATCTGAAATTTCAGGATTTTTTTTTTTAATTCTGAAAGGGAATGTAAAAATCACATGATTTAGAAGACTAGTGATTTCCTGTAAGAAGATAACTAATGTATTTTACAAAGTGTACACAATGATTTTGGGCTTCCCAAGCAGCACAATGGTAAAGCATCTGCTTGCCAATGTGAAAGACAGAAAGAGACGGGGGTTCAATCCCTAGGTCCAGAAGATCCCCTGGAGGAGGAAATGGCAACTCATTTCAGTATTCTTGCCTGGAAAATTTCATGGAAGAGAAGCCTGGTGGGCTACAGTCCATGGGGTTGCAAACGGTCAGACACGACTGAACATGCCACACACACTACTAGAAATTTCTCTTTAATCCTTGAAAATTCACTCTGGTATTTTACAAAGATGGCAAATTCAAACTTCTGCTGTGTGTGACACACCATTAACTCCACCAAGATACTTTCTTGGTTAACATTCACTGATGCTAGGTTAGCATCAGTGATGCTAGCAATGTTAATCTGGCAGTAATGCTAGGTTAACATTCACTGATGTGTTAACATAATAATGACCCACCTGCTATTCCTATCTATAAGGCTCTTTCTCTCTGTAAGGATGGAAACTAATGACAGAGTCTCTCTGAACTGTCTGATGTCAGAGCTAGAAAAGGTGTGAAGGGTATATATGAGCTAGACTACTGGCTAGCAGGTTGGGGGGTAAATGCTCCAGTGGATAAAAGCTTGAGGTTTTCCGTGAAGCTTCCTTGTTAACAAAGGCATTTTCTGATAATGCTGACACTGAGACACTAAAAGGTAAGGAATTTTCTGTGTCTAGCATACTATTATTTATTCAGCATTCGAACAAATTTGGGATTAAATGTATGGCTTATTTCAAAGGAAGAGTAAAGAGATAATGTATAATGATATCAGTTTTCTAGATTGTTTTTAGAAGGAAACTGGGTAAAGGAAAATTTTGAAAATATTTGAAAATTTCATGAACAGTCTGAGCCATATCAATAAAATTATGACCCTTGGAAATTATGTTTTTGAAAGATTTTTTAAAGTAGGCTCTAATTTAATATGTCATTAAACAAAGCTACAGTAGATTTCATGATTTTAGAGCCGAATTATTCTTTTCAGAAAATTTGAGAAGCAATGGGCATTTTGAAGCTGCCAGTGGTTCTCATTGTGCTCTTTGTTGCATTAAACCATCTCGAAGGCGGTGGTAAACCCACTGAAAGGTTAGTAACTTGAAAATCTGAGTTTCTTTTGAAAGTATGAAAAAATTATAATCAAATACTGCTATGTAATTAACGGCCCTTGTGCCATTAGATTTCTAAGTCATATTTAAGAATAGTACATTAAGCTCTTCCACTGTTTCTTAAATTCTGTCTTCTTTAAAGAATAAAGTCCATCTGATAAATCTCTCCGATGAAATTTCTGACAGACAGGAATGGATAGTCTCAGCTTTGTCAAGAAATATGCTATTGGAACTTAAAGGATCAGAACCAGAACATGAAGCAAGAAAACCCAAAAGGTAGTAACTTCTACTATACTAATCCAATTCTCAAGCAAACTAGGAGAAACTCAAAGTATATATTTTATATGAGGTGGAATTTTGCTTTGTGCCTATGTAGACTTATTTTTCTCAGCTCTGGCAATATCCTGAACTTTCACATCTCTTTCTGGAAATCTAAGTAGGAAATAATCAAGTGGCAAATTAAATCTGCTAAGAAGTTAAATTTAGAAGATCCAGTTAAAAAGCCATTAGTCTTTAGGGGATTCTTTCTATATTGCTAACTGCTCTGTTAATAAAAGAGAATTATAATTAAAATATTATTCTTCATGAGACTACTTCCAAGATGCTCTAAATATAAATTAATATTTCTTGAAAATGTTTTCAATAAGTAGCATGTGCATCAGGTTTTTTTAAAAAAAGCTTATTTTGAAAGGTATCTTTTATTTGAATGATACTTTTAAGGAATTTTAAAAACTGTGAAGGAAGGGTGAAAATGTTTGCAGTATTTACAACTTTCAAGTGGAAAGCCTTTAAAACTGTTATTATCCACTTATTAAAAGAGGCTTAAGTCCATAGGTATACATATATCCCCTCCCTTTTGAAACTCCCTCCCATCTTCCTCCCCATCCCACCCTTCTAGGCTGATTCATGCTGAGGTTTGACAGAAAACAGTAAAATTCTGTAAAGCAATTATCCTCCAATAAAAAATAAATTAATTTAAAAATGCTATATAAAAAAGCCAAGTCCAAATTCATGCATGTGTCATAATATGAAGATTTGCTTGTGTCTAAATAGGTTTTGAATCCATATGGTTTTATAAAACTGAATTTATGCTCCCTTGAATACCAAAGAGAATAAGTTTACTCATGAAAAATCTTTGCTTTAAGTCATATTAGAACTCTTCTCATAGAATTATCAGCATTTTGTCTATTTTCCTTCTGGGTGTTTTTTGTTGAGGTGGAGGTCCTTTGGTGACATATAAAGGTTTCTAAAGCACCTATGTGTAATAGATTGTACACGTAGATTTTTTTCCCTTTCATTTCAAGGCTTACCTAGTTTACAGGACATTCTTCTCAGAACTGACTGTAATGTTCAATTGGTTTTCTCCTGGATAAAAACAACTTTAAACCTGCCATGAAGTTTCTGGTAAACTAGCAGAACATTTGAACAATGACAGAAATTTAGTGATATTATGTAGTATTTCTGTCTATATCTTGATCTTTTCTTTCATTAGATATATTCATCTGCTAGCTATTTTTACTCAGTATGTTTTTAAGGAAATTCATTTATTATGAGGTGAATTTCACTGAGAAATAAAATAACACATAATGTTATTTATTAACAATTATATTTTCATTCTGGTCTCACAACCTTTTTGAATTATTAGAAATATTAATAAAATATTCATCAACTACTTTTCAGGAAATTGAATTCCTGGAATCAGTATATTTGGTCAGTTTTTTGAGGAGAGAGGAAGAATTTAACATCCTGAGCCATTCAACCATATAATATTCTATGAAGCTCATAAAAAGCTGCGAAACCCTAGGTAGAAAATATCTCAAACTTTGAACACCTTTAAAAAATAAAGCTGATGAAGATTTATTCTTCAATATTGTTTTTTCACAAAAATCAGTCATCTCATTTGAGACCTTTTTCAACTTTTATACCTGCATGGGATGGGATTAAGAAGTAACAGACTTTACAAGCCATACCAAAACATGGTTATGTTACTTGACACTCATGAGCGAGGCAGAAGGATCCCACATTTGCCCACCAACTTTTTTAAGACTCAGTAGTAAATAAGGCTCAGTGGTATCTGCCTGGCAGATAGTAAGAGAGCAACCAAAAGTATAATTACATGAGTTTCAAGCTAGAGTCACTGAACACTCCCTTTAGAAACTCACATACCTCCACAGACAACTATTAAGAGCTGGAATAAGGGACCCATTTAAAAACTATTTCAACAGATCACCAGCCCAGGTTGGATGCATGAGACAAGTGCTCGGACCTGGTGCACTGGGAAGAGCCAAAGGGATTGGGTTGAGAGGGAGGTGGGAGGGGGGATCGGGATGGGGAACACATGTAAATCCATGGCTAATTCATGTCAATGTATGACAGGGGCCACTGCAATATTGTGGAGTGATTGGCCTCCAACTGGTGAAAATAAATGAAAAAAAAAAAAGAAACTCCAGAACTGAAGACAGACCTAAGCTAGGGTGATAGAAAGCAGATCAGTGGGGTGAGTGTGGGATTGACTCTTGAGTCTCAGGAAGGAATTTTCTGGAGTGATTGAGGTGGTGGATACAAGACTATATACATTTGTCAAAACTCAACAAATTCTACACCTAAAGCGGGTACATTTTATTGTATGTACAGTTAATTCAAGGTTGATTTTTAAATTTAAAAAATTTTTCCATGAAAGTTTTGTTTCAAATAGCTATTTCAAATGATATATTTTAATGTTTCCAAATGAAGCCCACTGATTTCAGAACCATTTGGTTAATACCAATCTCTGAGATTGAGGCATCATGACTGGTGCTTAATTCTGGATTTGCATCATCTCTAAGTGTGTTCTCTAGCATATGGCCATTAAAAAATATTGAATGACAAAAAAAAATAAATAAAAAATAAAAACTGTTTCAAAAGCCCCTGAAACTGAGATGTTTTTAAAGAGAGACAATTTAAGAGTTAGAATTCAGCCTATAATTACCACTGTTTATATTCTCTTCTTATTGAGGTATAGTTGATTTACAATGTTGTGTTACTTTTTCATGTATAGCAAAGTGATTCAGTTATATATATACATATATACATATATATGTATTCTCTATATATATTCTTTTCTTTTTGTGTTCTTTTCCATTATGGTTTATTACAGGATATTAAACTTATTTATGAAACAGAAACAGATTCAGACATAGAAAACAATCTTATATTGTGAGTGAGGGATAAACTGATTTGAGATTAGCAGATACACACTACTATATATAAAATAGATAAACAACAAAGTCCTAGTGTATTGCTCAGGGAACTATATTCAATATCCTATAATAAGCTCTCTTAAAGCCAAGAATTTCCACGTGTGTGAATGGTCATAGCTTTAAACTAGCATTTGTTATTAGCTGGTGGGTAGGCTGGTAGGCCATGTCTGCCTGATAATCAATGAGGGAAAATACATAAAAGTTGGGGTGTTGGGCCTTTCACTAACCAACTCAGTCAACTTTCTCCATCTTAATGATAATTTGGGATATATCCTGACTATCATAATTACATAAAAATTCCTGTTTGGGAAAGCAGTTTCACAAGTATGAAACCAAAAAACATAAAAGTTCTTTGTATTTCTTTAAAGTAGAATCATGACCCTCCTAGCTAACTCAGATTAGATAATATTTTAGTTAGAATAATTTTAAATCCTATTACAGACCTTGAGATCAATTATCAAACATTCACCAATTATCACTGAGCACAAAGAGTATTTCACATCTGTTCAAGGCATTCACCAAATATATCCTGGAAAAGAAATCCCTTTGAACCTTCTCAATTTGACCCACATTTATTACTTTAAACTTATTAGTTTGAAGTGTTTGGGTCAAATTCTGATTACTACTGTTTTTCAGGAAAAGTTTATCACCTTTTAGAATTGAATGTTCAGTGAATGAATTGCTGGTTCAATCTTTATAGGAGCATTAAATCATTCTTTGAAAAGGCACATTGGCCATGCTTACCACACATGAAAAAGAAAAAGTTAAAGAGATAATATGAATAAGACTGATATATAAGCCAGGAAATTAGGCTTCTGTGGGCTTGCCTCAAGGCTCAGTCTATAAAGAATCCTCCTGCAATGTAAGAGACCTGGGTTCAATCCCTGGGTCAAGAATATTCCTGCCTGGAGATTCCATGGACAGAAGAGCTTAGTGGGCTATGACCCATGGGGTTGCAAAGAGTCGGACACAACTGAATGACTAACATACACAACTTAAGCTTCTAGATGTGTTTCCTTTGCCTGAGTAATTGGTTTGTCAGCATAAACTCATGCTCAACAGATACTCAGTTCATGTAATTCTGTAAGAAAAATTTTCTGTGGAGAATATCTGAGAGTATAAACCATAAAGTTTCACATGAATTTTTAAAATATTTACTCTTAGGCTCTCTCTATACAAAGATACAGACAATGAAGTACTTCCCATACAAAATAAACACATTGAAATAAAAGCCATTGCATATTGCTTCAAATTATGTATATACACTGGCTTCTGGACATTGAGTTTTCAGCCTCCTACCAGTATCTCTCTCCCACTTTACATTTAATCAAAGTTTAACCAAGATTTTGGTTTTTACAGAAGTTGAAATTTCCCTAGAACTCTTAATAATCAGCAAAAAAGCAATCATTGTATGTATTTCCAGTACACTAAAACAAAAGATGGTACAAAAATATAGGATTGATGTAAATAAATTCTATAAATACTAAGATTCAAATGAATTATTTACAGTTATCATTTATGACTTATCCATAATATTATTATTATGCAATTTTTCCAGGTGGCTGAAGGAACATGATGAATATTAATACCATTGACACAAAAAGCCTTTGGTTTTAACATTTAACCTATCATTAAAATTGTTGAAAATATAGGAATATAGTACATAGCAGAGGCATAGTAAACTTCATGTATTTATACTAATAGTAATAGAATTCCCACACTACAGTAGTTAGAGTGCCTGAATAGGTGATAAATTTTATTCCTTTTAAATAATATCTGACATTTCTCAACACTGTCAATTCAATGAAATCAGGAAACAACAAAAATTAACTAACACTGCTTAATTCTTGTTTGAAAGGAATGAGAAATGAATATATATATGTGTAAATTACATATTCCAGATTACATATGTAATTTGCAATTCAAGACCTTTTTAAAAAATTTGGGAAATAGATTGGTGGTGGTGGTTTAGTCACTAAGTCGTGTCCAACTCTTGAGACCCCATGGACTGTAGCCTGCCAGACTCCTCTGTCCATGGGATTCTCCAGGCAAGAATACTGGAGTGGGTTGCCCTTTCCTTCTCCAGGGGATCTTCCCAACCCAGGGATCAAACCCAGGTCTCCTGCTTTGCAGGCAGATTCTTTACCAACTGAGCTACGAGGGAAATATATTAATCAATATTTAAAAGAATAGAAGACAAAAATTTTTATTATCATTATCTGGAATATATTCTGAATTTCCAAAGAAAAAGATTACACTGGGAAATTCAACATTAACTATAACGGAGAGTTAGCTATATGATATCTAAGCTGCATCTTCAAGGTGTCCAGAAACTCGATCAAATCATCCAAGTGCTTTGCAAACCAAAACACTGATGTGAAGACGTTTCCTTTAATTTTCATCAACATGAGATATCTGATGTCACAGAGATAGGTGTGTCCAATCCTGACTCTAACTTTCTAACCTTTCATATTTGCTCAGCGTCACCAGTCGTCAGATGGAAAAGCGGAAGTGCCGCGCTGCCACTTGCGCGACTCAACGCCTGGTCAGTTTTTTAGCTCCATCCGGCAACAAGCTTGGCGCCATTTTCTCACCTATGAAGGTGGGATCCAGTGCGTATGGCAAGAGGAAAAAAGTTGAGATCTCAAAGAAAGAACCATTGAATTACCCATTTAGAGGTCAGTCTCCTCTACAGCTCTTATTGCTTTAATGTATTATGTAACTATTCCAGTGATTTCCTTTGTTATTTAACAGTAGCTCTTTCGTTACTAGAATGAATATATGAATCTCTGCCTCCCATGTTTGTTGTTAACGCATATAAAATGCCATGTTAAGAATTGCTTAAATTAATACTGATTAAGATCCCATAATAAAAAGGCTGTGTCTTTAAAACTGAAATATTCTTGCTGTAGTGTTTATTTTTTAAATACTTTTTAAAAGTTGTTTCTTTTGCTTGTATCTTTATGACCTGAGTTTGAGAAAAGAGGAGAAAATGGTTGTTGGAAACTTGATAAATTGTAGACAGCTGAAAATAAAGTTATGATTATAAACATTAGAAAACTAGCAATTGTAAGTATCCTTGTTAAGCAATCCTTTTTTTGCATTAGATTTCCGAAATGACATAAAATGTTGTTTAAAAAAATAAAAGCCTGCTCCTGACTCAGTCAAAATACTTCTTTTTTTTAATTCTGTTTTTTATACTTGCTGGTACTAAGAGGTTACTTCAAAATTAAAAAAGAAATGTCTCTGTACACACTGCTATATTTAAAATGTATAACTAACAAGGACCTATTCTATAGTACATGGAACTCTGCTCAATATTATGTGGTAGCCTGGATGGGAGGGGAGTTTGGAGGAGAACAGATACATATATATGTGTGGCTGAGTCTGTTCACTGTTCACCTGAAACTGTCACAACATTGTTAATCAGTTATATCCCAAAACAAAATTAAAAGTTTTAAAATAAATAAATAAGACAAAAAAAAGAAAAAAGAAACAATGTTCCTGTGAGTTTTATTGTCTGCTGTTATCAGTGAGCTTATATTAAATGTATATGCCCTTTATTCTATTTAAGTGGCTTTCAGCAAATCTTAGTCACATTTTTATACAGAGTACTGCAAAATCGATATGTGTTCCTAGTAATTCTGTCTTCATTTAAAAGACTATAGACTTCTGGAAATTATGTACTGTATAGCCACTTATTTTCTTTGTTTAATTAATTGGACTTTTCCGGCAGAGGTTCCACATGTGTGATGTCTCCCCTCCCCTTTTTTTGTTTTTTTTGAAGAAACCTGCGGTACTAGAAATGAAATGAAATATTTTGCTGTAAGTCAAATTCCTACAGGGTATCTGCTTTTCCCTGACTGTGAGTTCCATAATTCTGGAAGTATCATTAACTCATATCAGTGGCTATTATGCTGCATTATGCATTGCTCAGGGCTCAGCTTTTATTTTAAAAAAACTTAAAAAAAAGAAGCATTTCAATCTTAGTGAGAATCCAGCTCACTGACTTAATTGCTACATTAAAATTGCTCCTCATAAAATTTACCTCAGATTATCATCTTTAGAGTTTATTATTGTTGTTTAGTTGGTTGGTTTTTTTCTCAGAGGGGAGGATATAGAGAAAACAGATGTTAGTTATAATGATTTTATGTCATGAATTGCATACTGAAATAAAAGAGTGATTGAATTCTTTTTGTGATATTCAACTATTAGCCCCCTTTCAAAGTGGATATAAGCTCAACATTTTGAGAATCCCATGGACAGAGGAGCTTGGCAAGTTATGATCCATAGGGTCCCAAAGAGCTGGACACTACTGAAGCAATTTAGCACACATGCAAGGTACAATTGAATTAATCTCTTAAACTTACTCCATTAAAAATTTTCCCATAATAGTCTACATTAAATAACAGCATTGCATCTCATATCTATATCAACTCCCCAATCAAGTCTGGTGAGCTACAGACCATGGGGTCGCAAAGAGTCAGACATGACTGAGCGACTTCACTTTCACTTTCAACCTATCTTTCAAGAGTTAATTAAATTTTAATGAGCTCATATAGTATTCAAGGACATTGTATATAGCAGTACACAATTCCCAGGTTTAAGACAAGAAGAATTAACGTATAGTAACCCAACAACTTCCGGTGCTAAAGAATAGGATAGAGTTAGGGTTACTGTGTCACTTACTCCAAACTTGAGAAGGAAAGAGTTTATTACATTGATACAATAAATATAAATAGTTGATGTTATTGTAAAGTGTACTCATTATATTTATTAACAAAGTGAAACATTTGAACACACTCAACATTCTTTCCTTCATTGGTATTCATAGACCAATAGAAATCTAAATATATAAAGGTTGGGAATGCCTTATGCCATGGAACATAACAAATACTTCCCCTGTTCTCATAATTACCCTGTGAAAATAATTAGTTTTCTTTATTGATGTAACTGATAATATCAACAGTAAATATTGGTGACTAAGCTTATTCCAACTTTTCTTATTGTGCCTGTGGTACGTGAAATCATAGGTGCTATTGAGTAGCCTTCCAAATACTTACATGCATGCTACAAATTAAATTTTATTGAAGATTTAGAAATACAAATGATCCTATGTTCCTGTTGCAATACTGACCCAGAACAAAGAATTGATTTTCTAAAACTTCCAGAAATTCTCTTGAGCACTGTGAGAGAATATTCTGCAATAAGCCTCTTATTCCTCTGAAGCCTGAACATCATTGTTGTTCAGTCACTAAGTCATGTCCAACTCTTAGAGACCCCATGGACTATATCACACTAGGCTCCTCTGTCCTCCACTATCTCCTGAAGTTTGCTGAAATTCATGTCCATTGAGTCAGTGACACTGTCTAACCATCTCATCCTCTGCCCCCCACCCCTTCTCTTCCTACCCTCAATATTTCCCAGCATTGGGGTCTTTCTTTTCCAGTGAGTCAGTTCTTTGCATCAGGTAGCCAAAGTATTGAAGCTTTAGCTTTAGCAGAAGTCCTTCCAATGAATATTCAAGGTTGATTTCCTGTAGGACTGACTGGTCTGCCCAAACCAGTCAATCTTGAATATCGTTACCTGGTAATATTATGCCGAAATGAAAGAATACCTTAGACATGCCTGTGAGTCTAAACCCCCTTTGGCTGAGTGCAGGGAGAGCTTTTCATATAAAGTAGGGAAAAGTATTCTTTTTCTACCCCTTATCCTCCCTTTTACACACACATAACCCACAGTAATGGAAAAATCCATCTTCCTTACACTCACTGCATGTGTAACAGATACTGTTAGTGCTCACCAGCATCCTCTTCCTCCTGAGCATACAAGGGATGAGACACATGCATGGATTTCCTTCAGTAAACATTCTCCTTACGACAAAACTGGTTAGTCACGACTCTTTTTCTTGAGATATGGATTGTCTTCTGACTGTATGACTATTGTTAATTCCATTTATGAAATGAATATCATCTCCAAATAAACTAAATATTGTATTATACAATATTTAAATTCTATAGCATAATTATCAAAATAAAGATTCTAAATTTTCATAATAAGTAGGATTAAATAAATTGCATAAATAAAGGGTTTTCTGGGGGAATGAGATAGGAGCAAATGACCATGTTTCTCACTTCATTGGAAGAACAGTGCTGTTGCATTTGAAAAATAATGTATGCTAACATGCATTCCTTCCCCTTGATTGATTTACAATATAAATTTAATTCATGAGCAAATTTTATGAACAAAATTCAAATCTTTGCCTATTGACAAAACTTTGAAAATTAAGTTTTTATCTTTTATTTGAAGACATGGTGATATACATTGGTCAGTCACCTACATGCTGCTCTTTAATCTACACTTTTTGAGAAAGTTTCTGCTTTGAAACATCTAATAATAGAGCACAATGAGATATCAAAAAACACAGTGAGTCATAGTTCTGTGAAATTTCCAACAGGAGAAATAAAGACACAGAACACACCTGAAATTCATTTGTTATACTCAAACATGCCTTAATAATTAAACTTAAGAGATCTGGTCAAACAAGAGAGAAATGGATTAAGCAGTTATGATAAGTATATTTATCAATTTAGAAGCCAAACAGAAGCTTAGAGTTTACATATTGACAGTCAAATGTTTTTCTGTGAAACAACCTGTGAATGAGTTAAAATAGCTTTATTTGTAAAATAGCTTTATTTGGCTTGCAATTAATATGCTTAAAGTTACAAAGATTGTCACACTTTATGTTATCTGCAATTAGGACAACTCTCAATAATTTCTTAGAAAATTAAATAATGCTGTGACAGTTATTCACATAGCAACTAATATTAATAGTTTTCTTTTTATACTTAGGGAGAAATCCTTTATTATACAGTGACTTTTTTCTACTAAAGAAATCACTGAATCACAAAATTCAGTGGAAAATTTCATTGTGCGTTCAAGGTCTGTTCTACTTCTGGCATCTTCTAAGGGCTTGAGATACAACTTTTCTGGGATGAAGTAAGCAGTGGTAGCTTCTTCAAAAATTGCAGTCAAATTCTTCACCTCTTCTTTATTGTAGAAGAGCTGTCAACAGCACTCCTGATCATTTCAAACCTGCTATTTCTTCATGCAGCTTCCCTGATGGCTCAGGTGATAAAGAATCTACCTGCAATGCAGGAGACCCAGGTTTGACCCCTTTGTTGGGAAGAGCCCCTGGAGAAAAGATTGGCTACCCACTCCAGGATTCTTGCCTGGAGAATTCCATGGACAGAGGAAACTGGCAGGCTACAGTCCATGTGATCTCAAAGAGTCAGACACGACTCAGCAACTAACAGTTTCACTTTCATGTCTTCATAATGACAGTGTAGAAATGCTTATGAAGTCAAAAAAAAAAAAACAGTATGAACCAGAGATTTGAGCTTTGATGTAACATTATTGATCCAAAGTCTTTCATATGTCTTAGAAAAGATAATACGTTTCTCCTGTGACGGGGTAGAAAATTTTCTCTTTCTCAGAGGAGGGAAACACCGTTTTGCTGTTAGTCATCATGCTTCGGAAGATGAGAGATTGTGTTTGTTCTATAGCAAAGCGCCTTGAGGGAACCAAGCAACAGCCAGTAAAGGTGTATCCTAAATGTGTGTGTAGCCTGGAGTCACAGAGACTTGGTGACTACAATCAAGTTAGTCTGGACTTCTGTCTCCTCTTGTGTGACATGAACAGAATAATAACTCAGAGATTGACTGCTGTTGCTGCTTTAGTCTCTCAGTCTTGTCTGACTCTTTGTGACCACATGGACTGTAGCCTGCCAGGCTCCTCTGTCCATGGGGATTCTCCAGGCAAGAATACTGGAGTGGGTTGCCATGCCCTTCTCCAGGGATCTTCCCAACCCAGGGATTGAACCCAGGTCTCCCACATTGCAGGCGGATTCTTTACCATCTGAGCCACCAAAGAGATTGGCAGTGAG